GAGAGAGAGAGAGAGAGAGAGAGAGAGAGAGAGAGAGAGAGAGAGAGAGAGAGATTTTGAGAGATTTTACTCAGTATAAATATGCTTATAAAAATGCACTCTGAGAGTGTAATACACCTTTGCTCGTTCGTTGTTATAACAAGTCAAGGGAGGCGCATAAAATGATTGTATGATAATCATAGTCGAGAGTGTAAAGAAAGACTTAGAAGGTTACTAAAGAAATTGAAAATTGATTACAAAAAATAAAACTGTTTTTAGCATTTTAGATCACAGCTAGAATTTGACAGTTTGCTCAGAACAAATGTCCTTTACTTGTAAAAATTGAAACTCTGACTGTAAAACACGTTTATTTTGATTTGTTTGCCACAGTAGGCACACATAAAAATGATTAAAATATTATGATAACTAAAGCAGGGAGTAACGACCGACACAACAAGTTACTAAAGAAATTAGGAAGACAAAGAAATCAATTTATTTCCAGCTTTTTTAAATCACAACTCGAGTTTAACAGTGTGTACCACAGTGCCCTAGTTCTAAAGTTTTAAAATCTATAGATACCACCTACTGTGATATTCTTCTTGGTAATCATTAAGGAATTTTCTAGAACACGGCTAACAGGTGTTTAAAAAAAAAATTTTTTCAAAGACAAAATGATACAAGTCATTGCGCTAAAGCTGGAGACTTTATGTTCAACAGTTGAGGAAATATTTGACAATAAGTTACGCCTGAAATGTTTTACCGTACTATAGCTTCTTTCTTGCTGTTTGTTTAACTTGTTTCGTAAGTAAAAAAAAAAAAAAAAGAAAGAAAAAAGAAACATATACTTTTTAATGGAGGTTATTTTTCCTTACCTATTGTAATTATAGCACGAATGCGAGGGTCACCAAACTACGTCCAGTGGGCCGGATTTGGCCAGCGTGGTAAGTTTCGTCTGACCCGCCGTCATGCCACCATGCGGCCAACAACTTCATAGATGTGTTTGTGGCATGCCCATGACTTGACCACTAAGACTATAAATCATTTCATCCATCTCTACAGTGCAAATGAACGTAGCCTACTTTTATGGACTTCATAATGTCTACCTAATGGGACAAATCTTTCGTTTAACGCACCAGTGTATCATATTATTTAACAAAATAGTTTTCCAACCCATGCTCGGCATTGTCTCGGTTATCTGAACCACTTCGAAAAAAGTTAGGTGACCCTTACACTAAAGTGACATTGTCAGTCTTTTTGGTTGTAGCAGAATTCAATGAATTGGATGACTTACGTTGTTTTGTTTTTTTCTAACTTCAACAGAGATCAGCCACGGCAAAGTTTTGTTGAAGAGTAACCCCTCCCTCGGCTACGTGGACACAGTTGATTGGTTGCCTATCATGAGGGGGAAGGAGGAAGATGTGCACTTTATGGAGAACGCTTGCAATTTCACAGGTTGGGAGATAATGATATTAGTTGCTTGTGC